CCCACCCTTCACTCAGAGCGACTTACAATCTCCTTTCCCTTCCTCTCCCCACAACACACCCTGTGAGGGAGGTAGGGCTGAGAGAGCTCTTTCGAAGACTGCTCCTTAGAGAACTTGTGACTGACCCAAGGTCACCCAACAACTGCATGTGAGGAGTGGGGAATCAAACCCAGTTCTTCAGATTAGAGTCCACCACTCTTTAACCACTACACCAAATTGGCTCTCTTTTATTTATTCATATAATTTATATCCCACATTTTCCCCCAATGGGGACCCAAAGCAGCTTATATAATTCTCCTCCTCCATTTTATCTTCACAGCAGCCCTGTGAGGTGGATTAGGCTGAGAGTGCATGACTGGCCCAAGCTCACACAGCCATCTTCCATGGCAGAACAGGGATTCAAACCCGGTTCTCCCAGGTCCTAGTCCGACACTCTAACCAGTACACCGTGCTGGTTCTCAAATTTCCATCATCCAGATCTGGATCCCAAATTATATAACTTCTCCTTGTGGTTGCCCATTATTATTTTTAAAAGCCTAAATAAATAGCACCATTTTGGTCTAAATATCCAGCATTTTAAACCTTTTCTCCCTCCTGTCAGATCCCAAGTCAGGAGAACAAACCCACGTTCCAAAGAAGTAAGATTTATTTCCAAAGCATGGTTAGTCATGAACATACAGAGATTGTTCAGAATGACGACAGTACACAGGGGCAACATAATATAGGAACTTCAAACTTGGTTAACCCAATGGGTACATTTCCCTCATAAGGGAGCTGATTAGAAAAGGCGCGAAGCAGCCTGAGAATCACAACAGCCAATTTCATAAACACAAGTTGAGTTCACACGGGAAATCTAATTAAGCCCGAGCAACAAGACACAACACTCCGTCATCCACCTGCAGGAGAAACTTGGCAGTTACAGAAGCATACCAGAAGAGAATAACAAGGGGAGGGAAGGGAGGACGGGCAGGAATAGGGACGGGACGTGTCCCAGAGGAATGGCAGCGAGCTGACATACTGCCCACCTGAAAATCCCACTTACCCACCGTCTCCCGGGGTGGGCGGGAGACCTCCCGGTTTCCCCGGGAGACCTCCAGGTTTGCCCGGGAACTTCTTGTGGAACGCCCGGACGTGATAAGGGGCCCGAATATCCCCTTCTTCCACCCATTCCCGGTGCTGGGGACCGAAATCAACCCATTCCACAAGATACCACAATTTACCACGTTTGAGTCTGGAATCCAGAATGCCCGAGATTTCATAATGCTCCTGGCCTTCCACCAGGATAGGAGG